AATAATAATTATTTATAATTTTTAAATTATAAAACCAAATAATCTTATATTGTATTTCCCAGTTCCTGTGCCTTGCAAAGGACAAGTACCAGAAACTCAGCCTGGCACACTTGCACATTGATCCTAGCAACTGATCCTTGTGTTTAGAAGCCTGTACAGTGCTCTCAGAAGCCGTTGGCTAACACTGCATTAAGAAAAACACAAGAACTAACAGTGTTTTTTAAACCACATAATGTGCACATAAGTGGGGCTGCAGTTAAATCTGTTATGAAAAACAGTCTTTTTAGGATAAACAGAATTTTACAATTAAATTTAAACTTCATGCACAGACGGTTGTGTTGCTAAACCAGTCATTAAAGTTCTCTTTTTTTTTTTTTTTTTTTTTTTTCTCCCTTCTAATTTTTCTTGGGCAAAGCTTTGTAATTACTTTTACTTCTTCCCGACCCTGCGTGTGTCAGATCTGCATGTGGTTTCACTGAGCAGAGATACTTCTCATTTCACAGCCTATACTGGAAGGAGCAATATTGTATAAAAGCAGAACAGAGATGGGTTAGTAAGAACAATGACATTTGCCAAACCGTTTTTGCTTATGCATATACTAATGTTTGCCAGGTATCAGATAGTTGTCACCAGTGAAAATGTGCAGTTACAAGTGGGCATGGAAAAGTTGCTGGGTTTTCTTTTTCTATAGACTGCATTCACCTACATGCAAAATTATCTGCTTTCTGCTTGTACTGTATTTCTTGAGAACAGTAGTTAATTTTCATTGCATTTTAGCTGTAGTTTTGAACCAGCAGAGTTTGATACATGGAACTTTCAAAGTGAACAAGTGAAAATATTAATTTATACATACTTAAATTTTAAAAACTACTAACCTTATTTTCTTGTTTTTCTTTTTGAAGTATAGTGGAAGCTACAGAACAGGAATAATTGATAGGTTTTTGTTTTGATGATCTTTAACTTACTGTGCTTAGACATGACTGAAATGAAATGTATTGCAAATACCTGAGCATATTTGAACTGGCTTTTAAGTGTTTTGGGAATGGGAAAAATTCAATCAATGTCCTCTGTAAATTTCATTCAAAAAAACTCTGAACAGTTGAGCTATTCAAGTGTGTGTGTGAACCTCACTGTTGGACCATGTTTTTTCCAACCATTTTTCCCATACCCTTGCATTTCCCCTCCACCAATGAGACTGTGGTTCTGTGGCACAGAGGGCTTCATTCAGCTACTGTATTCAGGTGAGCAGGGCCTTGTTTCTCAGGCACAGGAGAATAAGGTTTCCTCTGGTCTTATTTTCTGTGCTGTCTGGCTGGAGCCTTCTCAGCACATTTCCGTTCCTACCAGCTCCTGCCTATGTATGTTTAAGATGTGTTCTACATCTGTTAATGTGTGAAGTGCTGCTATTGCATATGCATTATATTTGCTAGATGGGATTTGTTAATGCTGGATGCGTGACCAGCATTGCCTTGCACTTTTACAAGAGGGCACAAATGCCAGATTGTCCATGACTGTATTTCATTATCTTCTTAATGCCTGTGGCAGCAATATGGAACTCACCAAGAGTCTGAGCTCCCATTTCTAGGGAGCTTAACTTTTTGTTTAATAACTAGTGAAGATAAGTGTCTTCACTCTTATTGTAGCTGTTTATTATACTTTAACAAATGCTTCGCTAGATGCCTGTTCAGTGTCAGCACATAAAAATAAACAGAACACTTTTAAGATCAATGTCAACTATGACTTCAGTGCCTGGAATATCAGCACTGATCATGCCAAAAATTCTAGCATAGGAATGTCAGTGTGTTTCCTAGCTGGAAAGAGATACATGCTATCTAGCTACCTCAGTGATGTCTTCAGCATCTGGAAGCAGGATCCAGTTTGTTGCCATGCAGAATTGTCATGTTTGTTATGATTCCTAGATTGCTTAGTACTGATTTAAAAAAAACCCACAAAACAAAAAAAACCCCACCCAACCAAACAAAAAAAAACAACCAAAACCCAGTCATCTTCTTGGAAAAGTAGGACAGGAGAAGAAGATTTTGCTTCCTTGTGGCATTAACAGATCAGTGACAATGAAATTCGGTAGAGCAGAGAGTAATAAAAGAGCAAGCCTAATATCCCTTTAAAAATCATTGTCTCTGAGGCAGTTGTATCACTTCCTGCTCCAGTGATTGACAACAGCTTTATCCAATATTTGTAACCAAATTATTTCTGGAAACTAATCTGACCTTCTGACCTTGTTCATCTGTTTCCTTGTCTTCCTGCATTTGGCACTGGGAGAAAAGAAACTGCTGATATTAAATGTTTCCATGGTTCTGCTTACTATATCAACAGGACTATATTTTGTTGTTGTTTTGCCCCTCCCCTTCTCTGGCTGGCATTAAGTAGAAGTGTCTTATTTTAAAGAATATCAAAATGATAGTATCGTATAATACCATATGAAGCAGGACTTTTTTTTTCCTCCCTCTATATATCCATGCACACCATCAGAACTCAGGTTTCTCCTTTTGCCTGTTTTTTGGAGTAAAATAATGTGGACTGACCCTCCAGCTTTTACCAAGAAGTAAATAATAATTTTGATGTCAGATCAGATGCCAGGTTTGTGAGGGCAGCACTGCAGTCATTGGTTGACGAGTGAAACAAGAATTCCTCGGTTTAGATTCTTGAGGGAGTATTGCCTGCAAGTCACAATTTTCACAGTGAAATTAATGCTAAAACCCACTCAAAAAAAAGAAACAAAACCTACTCAAAATGGAATATTGGTGTCTTTACCCATAGTACTGTGATTATAAAATATGTTATTTTCAGTGTAAATCCCACAATCTGTCCTGCTTGTATTTCTGGAGTCTTTGATGACCAAATGTTTTGAATTGTGAAGGGTGGCTGTGGTTGGTTGAAGTTTCGCACAAAAGCACATGTGGGGTCCATGTGCAACCCTTCTAAACTTTGATATTAAAACCTATCGATTCACGCTGGGCTACGTGTGGAGTTGTCAGCAATGATACTATGGTAACATTTTGAAGAACATACGTTTAAATTAAGGTACTCAAACTCAATGGATGAAGTCATTTTTAGAATGTACTATCGTGTCAGTTATACTACTGCTGCTTATACAATATTGATTGTAGAACAGAAAAACTTTCTGCTCTTTATTAATTAGGCTAATGAGAATTCCCACATATATCCTAGATTGAAGACCATTTAGCTTCTTAACAATTTGATGCTCTGTTAGTAATACCTTGCAAGATGTTGTGGTTTTATGAGAACTCTCTCATACCGCCTTTGCCTTTTGGGACTTCTCTGTTCTAGCAATTCTTTAGAGATACAGTTCACTGTCCTCTTTTTCTACGAACATGGTTAAATGACATAGGCACAGCAATTATTTCTCCCTCCCAGGCTATCAGAAGTAGGTGGACAGCCTTACGCTGCCAACCTGATGAGAATGGCCTAGGTTTTGGCATTGTTCACTATGGTACAAAGCTTTCTTACTATGTGGAGAAAGAGTAAGAGGTCTGGAAATATCTCCCTAAATTGCTTTAAAAAAATAAAAATCTAACTTATTATTAGAAAATTCAGTCTTGGAGGGGGGAGGGGAGAGGTTTTGGTGGTTTGAGCCCTCTTTCATGGTTTAGGATGTCAGAAGAATTACAGCCTTGTGTTACAGGCCATTGCTTTGCTAACTCTGCACTTTTGTGGTCTCATAAACACAGAAAGTAATTCTGCTTTTTGTAAAGATTCCATGTACATCCTTTCTGTGGAACATAGGTTGCCAGCTGGTTGGTCTGAGCAAGAATGAAAGTGCTCATTAACTGAGTAGGCTAAAGAAAATACAGGAAACAAGGGAAGGCTTTTTGGAAGACTGCTTGCAAAAGAAATTAATAGCTCTGTTGGACGAGGACCTTTGTCACTCTTGGTGAAGCACAAGGCTCTCTCTAGTGACTTAAAGCTCTACAGTTAATAATTTGTGTCATATGGAGTGGTTAAAAGGAATTCCTAATCCTGCTAGAGCAAGAAGTTTCATGAACTTTAGTGGCTCCAGAAGGGAGGTGTCTCCCTTAAATCTCTCATCATATCTTAGTTGGAATCTTATCTGCTCTGACTGCAGGATTCTTTCATGTGCCTTTTGTTCCTACAGACAGAAGAAATATTAGAACTAAGTATAACATAATGTGCATACACAACAAAATGGTAGCAGTAATGGGTTTTGCAATGCACTGCAAGTTGACAAGATTCTAAGAATTATGAATCACAACTTCAAATACAACTTATCATAGAAGGAGCCTTGATTATGAGTTTGTCTGTTGCTGCTTTTTATTTTGTAAGATACTATGCTCTGCTGTGTGTCACTTGTGCAAAACCAGAGAACTATCCAGAAGGACCTGCAGGCAAATGATGGTGCAATTCATAAAAGTTTTAAGGCTCATGGAAAGCAGAGGCCAATGAAAAGTTATTTTCAACAGGAATTTCAAAAGAAATGGGCAGGGAATGAAGGTAGGAAGCAGGAAAGCCTTTCAACCACTCTAAAATTGGTAGAACCTGCCCCAGGGCATGACCTGCAAAGAACTGTACTTGGGCTAGTTAATGAAAGAATATGGGTGCGTGTATGTCTATTGGGAAAGGGAGTTAAAAATAAAAAGAGACACCCTGAGTTGTCCTCTGCAGCGATACTTACTGATTTTTTTTTTCTTACAGCACCTAAAAGTCGTCTCCAGAACCGTTTACTCTTTCACCTGGCACATAAGGTATGATGTCTTTTCTTCACTCATGCTTTGTTTGTTTTTGTTTCAATTGGGTAATGTGTAATTCATGTTGGCAACCTGGCAGAATACTTAAATCTCCTGTGGTGGCAGGAGAACAAACGTTTTCCACAACCACCCTACTGTATTCAAATGTGGAGGAGAAAGTAAGTGTGAAAACATGATCTCAGAATAGATGCTCTCAGCATGTATCTAAGGAAAGTTTTACCAACTCACTTCACATAAGTCATACAACAGGAACCTGATGGTATTTTTGATTATGAGGAACCTGGGACTTGAATAGAAACAGAAATTTATAAGCCACTATTTTTATTTTTCTTTGAAGTGTACCAAATTTTCCTAACTTGCAGCTGTCTTATACTTAGCAATTTGAGCAAAATAGTATATATGCTATTACTGATCCTCCAAAGTCATTCAGTATCCAAGAAGTAATTTTGTTTATAGCGTGAAATATACTTCAACAAAAATGAAATGCTTATTTCACTTACCACACATAACTATAAATTTGGTTTTGTACCATCCTGTTTTATACTTAACAAGTACTGTGCTGCTGAAGAGACTGAGGTTTATGTGAAAGAAAGTATAAATCCTGAATGTTAGCTTTGATGTCAGATTCTCTTTATTTAACTGTCAAGTTTAAGAGAGAAATCTTAAAACATTTTTGCAGCGACACTGGCGCTTACAGATGTCTGTGATAAAGAGAAGTTGAATAATTTCTAGTTCATTAGTTAGTTTTTGGAAATAATGGGGTTTACAAAACTATGAAGCCCGCTGCTGTTCTGTTAAGCAACTTCTCTTGCCTTTGTATTGGAGTATCATTTTGTGACTGGCTCAGAGGAAGGAAAAAGGATTTGTCAAAAGCTGAGCAGATAAATTAAAAATATGTAACATAGAATTTGTGTGTAAGAGAAATTTGTAATTACTGTTGAATCAGCAAAATAAGTAAAGGGAAGCACTGGAATAAGTGATTTGAGCAGACTGATTAGGTGAATAGCCTCAACTTTACTATTGTAATACAAATATAATGGATATGTTTAACTCTGTTCCTTATTTTTATCCTTCTGTGTGTTATGTGCTGTATAGCAACGCTTTTAAAAAAAAAACCATTCAGTTAAAAAACCTGGAATTTTAAGGGGTTGATGAAAGAGAATTTGTTAGTGCTGTAAAGAAGTCTTCTGAAAATTACTGCTGTTTTGTTGGCAAGTCTTACATTTTTCTGCTATCCATGAGAAATAAGATTTGGATCTACAAACAGCAAAATTTCTGCTGGTTTGAACAATAACAGTCAAATCTTGTGTTGCAAAATTCTGTTTGTGAAATAATTAATTCATCTCTTTTTTTTTTTCCCTCTTATCCATCAAGACATATGACATGTAATTATGTACTAAATCACACCTTAAAGGAAAATGCATACTTAGTTTTAGCCTCACATTTATCTAGTTTCAACTGGTCTGTCTCTTTAATGTTTGGCTTTCTCCACTGGTCAAATTAACTTTAAAGTAACGGAGTTTTTCCAATATGAATCACCTGCTGTTTGCCAGCAAGGACAAAACTAATCCAACTAATTAACTTAATTTTTTTTTTTCTTTTTTTCTTACTGAACTCTTCTGAGAATGTGTCACACTCTTCTTCAGTTCAGTGATGAGAAGAAACTGATGAGCTCTCACCAGAATCTGCAAGACATTACAGAAGATCAGCTTAGTTTGGCATCTATCCACTACATGCGGTCCCATTACCAAGAAGCTATTGATATCTACAAACGCATTCTTCTCGATAATCGGTGGGCATCTCTACTCTAAACCTTATTGCAGTGTCTCTGATACTGTTGGTGTTTGAATTCCATTTAGCTGCTTGGTTTCTGAAAGTAGGAATTTTCCCCAATTACTGTGTCCCTTTCCTACCGCAAAATGTGAACAATTTGCAGCCCCCTCAATTTTGTTCATTGCCAATCATTATTGAAAAATGCATGTTTAAAAATAAGTCCTCTCTCTGTTGCTTTCTTTTAGTGATATTTTCATGTAGTTCATTCTGAGATCTTTATTTTTTTATTTTGTTACTTATTTCTTCTGAAATTATGTTACATATGGTTATGTACCTGCTTTGTCTTTTCCCTCCTCTGATGGCCAGTCTGATGACCCTTGCGTGTGATTACTGACTTCTCCTTCATCTCTTAACCTTTCTAAGAAGTGTTCAGTTCTTAGGTTTTAGGTAGAGAGTTCCTTACATTCCATTAAGTCCAAAATTCTTTCCATTTATATTTATCCTGCTATGACACTTGTTGATGTGTTTTTCTATCATATTCTGCAAGTTCTTAGTACTGAAGTGGCTGGAAGTATTGTTTAATAAAAGAGAAACTGGTGTCCCAGAATATGTAGCTATCTTTTGGCAGTATCTCCTCCTGAATGCTTCAGAGAAGTCCATCATAATGTATCTAAGTATGTCATGTAATGCCTGGGGAAGAGATTTTAACTTCCAAGTCCTCTGTAGAAGCAATCACTCAAAGCTAAATGAGTAACCTTCATAACAATTATCCTTTTATTTATTGTTACCACAAATACCCTTATTTCTGTGTCTAGTTCTGGCTTGATAGCTTGTAATGGCAAGGATTTTTTGAAATAATTGTACTTTGTATAAGATAATAAGATCCATTAAAATATTTTCAAAGTTTTATGTATATATTAAATGCCTTTGCACATACTGCATAGAAAATCCTGTTCTGCCACACCAAATACAATGCTCGTGTTCAGTGCATTTCCTTAGTGTGAAGTTGCCACCATTTCCCAGATTTGAAAACCAACAGTTTTGTAGGTAATTATTTAAAGCTGCAGTAGCTGCCATTGAAAAAAAAAATGTGGATCTGGATCTGTGCGATCTTACCTAACAAACTAGAGCTCTAAACATACCTAATAAGCATTTCTTAGAAACTCCAGTTTTGATGTGCTTGTAAAAGATGTATAGACATGTGAAAGCTTTGTTACTGATTTTAATGTTCTGTAGTATAACTATCTGGTGGGATTTAAATGTTCTCTTTAATCCTCTTTCCTGCAGGGAATACCTGGCTCTGAATGTATATGTGGCCCTATGCTATTACAAACTGGATTACTATGATGTATCACAGGAAGTGCTAGCTGTTTATCTTCAGCAAGTTCCTGACAGCACCATTGCTCTTAACCTTAAGGCTTGTAACCATTTCCGACTTTACAATGGGAAGGCTGCAGAGGTATCTATTGGACAGCCCTTCAGTTCACCTTTATTTTAGTTAAAGATTTCATATAGGTTTCTTTTCCTTGTTATCTGTCTTAATCAGTAATGTTGATAATGGCCTTTATCTTGTCATTGTGTCCTTCTCTTAGGAATGTCGCCTATTTCAGTTTCCCTGGTATTAAGCTATCTGTCCACATGTGTGCAAAGTGGTCTTACAGTTTTCCCAGTCTCCTTTTGACCTTGTGTCTATATGTATTATCCAATTGCTAAAATCATCACATGGAAGTGGGAAGGCAAAAATCTTCCAGTGATCCAGCACTGCTGGAGATGTCTTTCTATCAGCTTTGGGGTTCATATGAAGCTCTATTCATTATGCTTTGTACTTTTTCTGTTTTGATGTTAAAATTTTGGAATATATATAATTCCAGGCAGAGCTCAAGAACTTGACAGACAGTGCCTCATCATCTTTTGAGTTTGGGAAGGAGCTCATTAAGCACAATCTGGTGAGTAATGTATTTCTCAGACTTGATATGAACTGCACTCATTTGTAGGGCTTTTCTTGATGATTCATAAAATGTAATGTTTTGGGAACTGCAGACCCAGTTGAATCTCTGCTGCCATGTAAGTCCCATTCCAGAAATCCTACCTGTATAATCAATGTGCTGTCAAGGGTATTATTTTTTCCTGGAATTTTTCCCTGTCAGTTTGAGACTGTGTCAAGAAAATAATAATGCTGTTGCTTTTGCCCCGGAAGACATATTAAAATAATTTATGTCCTGTAAGAATACCTTTTCAAGATACTTTGTGGAGCTTAGTCAGTAAGGATATTGTAGAAACAAGTCAGAATGCATGACCCTGAACTCTTATTTAGTATGACAAAGATGTGAGTGGAATTAAGATAACTCCTGAAAATGGTCTTCATCAAAAAGGACTTAACAAGGAGTTCATAGGGAGAAAGATGCTGACAAAAGCCAAAATACTTGTGTGTTCTGCAGTAAAAGATTCACTAACCATCTGCAGTCACTAATTTTCCCTGCAGTAGTGTTACTACTTTGCTGAACAACCAGTAACAGTAGATTGCTCTTTTGTAATGATGGGCAGTTGCTTGCTTTGTCATTTTTTCAAGAGCAGTCACAAAAAGCTAACACTTTTTTCCCCAAGAGTTAAAACTGCTTTCAAACTGGACTTTGGTAATTCTTTATTTTGCATGGTGGTCTTTTTGCCAACATTGAATAAGTTTGTTAGATTTTGTTGGAGGAACTGTTACGTGAAACCAAAGTATAAAGAATTGACTGCACCTGATCATTTTAGGATCTTGTGGCATTCTAAATAAATGTAGTGTTGTTAGCCTGATTTTTTCGTATGAATATATCATAAGCAAATTGTAATTCTGTATGTGTTCCCCTCACTCTTGTCTCAGTCCATATTATTCTTTAAAATCTTTGACATATAATGTATCACTGCTTTGAGCTGCTAAAGGCTGAAATAAGTTAATCTTTACTGATAGATTAAATACTTTATATTCTTCAGAATAAAGATTTCCACATGTCGTGATTCTATAGTTATATTAAAGCAGAGATTATGCTAATGCCAGTACCACTGACCTTTTTCTACTGTTAATATAGGAATTAAAGGATTAATTTCCTTGAATTAAGAGATCATAGACAAGATTTTGATACACAGTTATCAATATGCTGCTTTTCTCTGCAGGTGGTGTTCCGAGGAGGAGAAGGGGCTTTGCAGGTTCTGCCTCCTCTGGTTGATGTTATTCCTGAGGCAAGACTGAATCTTGTCATTTACTATCTCCGGCAAGGTAAATACACCTTCCTCTGGCTTTTTCATAACTTCAGGGATGATATTCATTCGTCTGATCTCAACTGACTATTCCATGAAATGTTTTGGGATTTTTAATATTTGCAGTAAAATGTAATTTATTTCATTTTCTGTTCCTCTGGAAAGTAGTGATGTAAGAGTTTCCATGGCTTGCAGAGAAAAGCTTTAATTGTATGCAGTCAAATAAATCTGCTTTGGCAGAGTATTGGAGGTTCCTTGGATTGCAGGAGATGGCTTTAGGGATGGTGGTATTTATATGTTTGTAGCAAGAGGACCTCTCCTCTGCTGGAATATGTGAGAATGGTAGGTGTATGTCCTACGAAGGCAAGGACCACTATTTCTGTAAATATCGCACAAAGAGAATATAAGCCAAAGTGAGTGTGAACAAGGAAATCTTAAAGGCACAGGAGCAGGCCATCCACCATGAGCTGGAGGTGAAGACCACTGGCCTGGCTGAACAGAGATCTTTGGCTGGAACTCAGGAAATAAAGGGGAGTTTATGGGCTTTGAAAGAAGGGGCAGGCCACTCAGGAGGACTACAAGGATGTCATGAGGTTATGCAAGGAGAAAATTAGAAGGGCCAAAGCCCAAGTAGAACTTAATCTGGCTATGGATGTAAAAGACAATAAAAATGTTTCTATAAATACATTAGCAACAAAAGGAGGGCTAAGAAGAATCTCCATCCTTTATTGGATGCCAGGGAGAAACATAGTGATAAAGGATGAGGAAAAGGCTGAGGTACTTAATGCCTTCTTTGCCTCTGTCTTTAATATTAAGAGCAGTTGTTCTCTGGGTACCCAGTCCCCTGAGTTGTAAGATGGGGGCAGAAAGAAGTCCCCATAATCCAAGGAGAAACGGTTAGCGACTTGCTACACCACTTAGACACACAATTGTATATTATTAAAAGTACATTATCACCTGCCTTATATTGTATAAGTTTGTAGAGTTCTAGGTAAATAACAGAATCACATTATTAGTGAGAAGGGACCTCAGGAGGTCTCTAGCACAACATTTTATTCAAGGCAGGTCCAATTAGATCAGGTTGCTTAGAGCCTTGTCCAGACACGCTTCTAGTCAGAACTTCCTCTCTTCCACCTTGTGTCCACTGCCTTTCATCTTACCCTATGGATTCTCTGTACCCTCCCATTAGTTGGTTGTAGACAGTGATAAGATCTCCCTTGAGCAGCCTTCTCTGAAAACTAAGCAAATGCAGTTCTCTCAATCTCTACTCAGCCCCCTACCTGCCCTGGGAGCCCTCAGGTGGGCTCATTGCAGTATTTTAATGTCTGTCTTGATCAGGGGATCCCAAAACCAGACACAGTACTCCAGGTGCAATCTCACAAGCATCATATAGAGAAGAATCCCTTTCCTTGCCCTGAGGGCTACATTCTTGCTCATATGATCCAGTGTGCAGTTGGCTTCCTTTGCTGCAAGGGCGCACTGTCTGTCAGGACCCCCAGGTAGCCTCTTAGCCACTCAGCTCCCCACCTGTCTTGTTGCTTAGGCTGCTGTCATTTTTTTGCTGGTGGTGAGCTGAGCTAGCAAAAATAACAAAAAAAGCCTATTTCTATTAAAAAAAAAGTGATGACTTTTGGCTAGTGTAGTACCTTGTGCTGGGTTACTACATGACTGCTCAGGGGAATGGACAGGAAAGCAGAGGGGTTGGATGGGAGCCTGGCAGCTCCAATATGTATTGTCTTAAGTCACCCTGGAGTATTGTCCCCACAGTGCATGGGTGGTATGTACTAGCAAAAAAACCAAAAGTTTTGTTTGATAAGGCTTGTTCCTATGGGTAGGTGGTGTAATGCTGTGTTAACAAAATTTTGCCAGTAAAAAGGGCATCTTCACTAGGTTGGGTTACTAAGCAGACTATAGTGCCAACATCTTTTTTTGATTTAGATAAAGCTTAGGATCTTTTCAACTTATTTATTTCTTGGGTGGAAATGAAGTTGTTTCTTGAATTCAAACTTTACATTTAAACTTTTACACTAGTAATGTTTCCTCCTTGTTAAAATTATGATCAGGTAAGAGCTGTTGAAAAGATTTTGAAATATTGATAAGGAAAAGATGAAGTTTCCCTTCAGAATCATGTTACCCTATCCTCCTTGAGGGGTAAATAAATATGAGAAGAGAAAAGACAGGAAGATGATGGATTTATTATCTTGACCTTGTACTGTTGAGAAGGCAGCCACTGGATTATGAACAAAGGGGCCAAGTCATCTCTACTAGGAAAATTGTAGTAATAAAGAACCTATTACTCACTCTGTGTTTGTTATTTGAGTTCTAGAAAGCCATCACCATTGTGATATAAATTTCCAGTGATTTATAGTTACCTTTCTCCTCCTGTCTAAATGCTTTATTTCTTAGTCTGCAACTATTGGGGAATGTGGTAGAGGATAAGTGATTTGTTCTAATACAGTGTGCTATGGGTTGTCATATATTCTAACGTCTGATATTTCAGATGATGTGCAGGAGGCTTATAACCTGATTAAGGACCTGGAACCTACAGCTCCACAGGTAATTGGAAACTCATGTCATGGTACATAAAGACAGAGTTTATAAGTTGGTATGAAATCTGCCACATACAAAACTAGTATCCTGAGGATACAGTTTGCCCATTCCCACTTTTAAAACTCTTGTGTTTTCTTTGTATCAACAATAGACTTAATGTGCATGTATAAAGTATTATATATGAGTACTTAGCATGTTTATTGCTGTACCACCTGGGGTCGATAAGAATACAGTTCTGTTGTGTGCAGACTTGATTCTAGTGAGCTGACCATTAGTGCATAGGTAAAAGCCCTCTTCCAACTACAGCTACTTGTCACTTCTGCCCTGGTGCTTGTTGCCATCCCTCAGATCTACTAGCTCATGTGCTCATGTGGTTTGTCCTGAAGCCATCTCAGTAAAAATGAGCTAGATTAGATTAAACAGTTTAAATAATAGATCTTTTCTAATTCCACCTCACTTTGGCTGCAATGAGTGAAAACTGCAGTGTCCCTTGGTTGCTACTGTAATTTTCTTTTGTTGCTGTTCCAACATCTTTAGTCTCTGATTTATTCCTCTTTGCAGTTTATTTTCCAAAGGTCACATAGCTGGGCATGAAAGGGACCTTTCATGAGTCTGTGTGAGGATTAGATGGAGGGAGGGAAAAGGAAAACTTCAAGAAAACAGATCTGGTGATTCTGTGCTGAGGAGTGTCTTCTGCTGTTGCTTTTCACTTCTTGCATTTTTCAGTATAGCAAGACTTGAACAGTTTTCTGCAGCTATTGGTCCTTTAGCCTCTGTTTTCTCTATATACATGCCTAATATAAATAACATGATATCATTCTTGATCACATTTTGAAATTAGTATCTTTGTGCTTTTTTTCCATTTTCACACTCACACTTGGAAGGAACTCCCTGCTAAGACTTGCAAAACTACTTGTCCTTCTCAAATTTCATCTTTGTGATGACATCTATAGGATAATAATTTGGCATCTGTAAGAGAGTTGGTATGCTAAAATTATTACTTAGCATACTGGCTAGTACTCTCGCATTGTTTCCTTGCACTCCATTGTTGGTCTGTGTACATGTCTTTTTTTCCATGTTTACATCTGTGACAGGGCTGTCAGGGGTTATCAGGAATACCTACTTCAGCAGGTTTATAGCTGTAACTCTCAATTGTTGTAAGATTTGAATAAAACAAATGAGTCTGTTAGATGCTGAGATGATCTTGCTCAGAGAAGAATTAAACTATAGTTGTATCTCATAGTAGAGATTACAGGGTAGTGTACTCCTATTCCTAATTTCAGTACAGTAACATGACCACAGAGCACAAACCTCTGAACATTTTTGCCGTGATGGGAAACGCTATGCATTTTGGAGCAAGGACCATAGTGGTTATGGTTAACCAATGTTATGGTTAACCAAGTTATGGTTAACTTGAAGTGGGATCTGCGCATTAAGATAACAACATTGCACTTGATTATTGGCCATATGATGGTGAAGAGGGGGTGATAGTATATTATGGCGTTTCTTCTGGTGCATCGTCTTTGAGCATAAGAGTTAATCAGAAAACACACTACACCTTTGCATCCCACATATTTAGCAGAAGTGACTAGCTAACAAATAGAATGGACTTTGGGGGGTTAACTTTGTACTACTGTGCTGAAACACTATCATAGTAACCAGCTACCTATTAAACTGAATTGGGACAGAGTTGAATTTAGGAAGAAAATAATGTGCAAGTAGGCTTTTATGTGTCTTCTGAAATCTTCACCTTGTCTTCTCTGATCCTTTTTACTTTTTTTTTTTTTCAGGAGTACATTCTCAAAGGAGTGGTAAATGCAGCGCTTGGACAAGAAATGGGCTCGGTGAGTGAAGCCCATGAGGTTCTCCAGCTTCTCCAACAGTAGGATGTGATCAGATCTGTAGGGACTGGAATGGAGTGACAGAGGAAGTCATTTCTCATTTAGACTGCAGGATCTCTAAGTCTCTTAATCTTCTTCCATACAGTACTCGGCCCAGAATGAGTAAGATGCAAATCTCTGTTGCTAGTCCTGACAATAAATCGAGCTGAATTTGGCTTCTCTGTCCTGCTTCCAAAAACACCTCTTTGCTTTAAGTGTTCTTGTGTATCTAGGAATGTACAGTTGCACATTTACTCTTTCTGTTTTTACTTCAGCCCTGGTTTGTCTGTTAGTTGTTCCCCATCTGTTCCTCGGAGCGTATTTTCACTGTGTACTGTAGCATCAACTCTGGAACTCATATTGGATTTTTTTTTCCTCTCCCAGAGAGATCATCTGAAAATTGCTCAGCAGTTCTTCCAGTTGGTGGGTGAATCAGCCAGCGAATGTGGTATGTTTGAAATGTTCTTTCTCCATTATGTAATCCTTCTTACAATGTCCAAATATATAACATCGCATCTTTGTTTAACTGCTGACTGTTAGCATGACTATTGCTAGGCATTTTGTTGCTGTAGTATGAGTAACAGCAGGTCTAATTTATAGTCTAAAACAAATTTGCAAGTTTAAATTAGAAGGCTCAATGAATTCCAAACCCTACTGTATGAATTTGATTGGAAAAGAGACTATACTGCAAACTGCTAGTCTTCACTGATAGATGCTGTGGCAGCTTGCCTTTGACTAATAATCCCCATTATAGAAACAGAAGACAACAGCCTAATTAGATGAAGTGTATGGCTGAAACCTCACAGGTATAGGCACTCACAGGTGCAAATCTAGGATTGCTAGTCAATAATAGACTAAAACAAGACCTTGTCTTACCTTCCCCTTGCCAAAGTAAACCCACAAATCCCAAATCAAAAAAGCCAGTTGTTGGAACACAGAAATTCAGCTGAAACAGGGCTTCCCAGTTTCCTTTGTAGGCATTGTCAGTAGGACTATTTCTTTAGGTGGGTAACTTATACATGTTTTTGATGTGACAGCTCATGGTCCTCAGCAACAGAATGCTGTCTCCTGTGTCCATGGTGACTAAAGAGAAGGACCCCAAGAGACAAAGTGGCAGCACTGATGAAATTTTCAGAAATACTGTTGAGCCATTCTGTTCCCCTTACAGCCCTTGTACTGTTGAGATTGTGCAGCAGAGAGCTTCAGGTTGGAAGGCTGGAAGTGGTTCCCTCCATGAGCCTTCCCAAACATTCCTCTTGCATTGAGGCTATCCTTTTGGAGTTGGGATCCCAGCTAATAGAGAGAAACAATATGAACTGTAGTAGTGGAGCACTCGGTTGGTGGGCATATAGCTAACTCAGTTTGTGATGCCAGTAAAGTCACAGGATGATTGCTACAATGGTGGTGGACCTCTTAATGCCAGTCATGCAGATGTGATGAGTGACCGTAGCACACATGGATAAAAATAATACAGAGATAATCTGAGAAAAGACATCCTGAAACGATGTCTCATGAAGATATAGCCCAAAACCAAAACTGAAATTGTTAGGAAGCTAAAAGTCTTAATTTTACTGTGAAATATTTTTAAACTCATATGCAAAACAAGATAGAGATGCTGAGACTTTGAGGTATGGTTGTAGGGGGAAGGTAATAGAAATGTAGGCTGATTAGGAAGGTGGATCAATTGAAAAAATGAGCCTCCGGAAAGGATTGGTTCCAAATAAAGGTAAATGGAAACATTAATACTGCAAACATCTTACACTCTTGGTACTTCCATGTGAAAACTGCTTTGTCATCTTTTTAAAAACTTGCGTGAGAAAGCTGACCTACAGAAGCGCATGCAGGTCAAGGTAACTCCTCCTTTAAAGGTGAAATAGTGTGAGGGTTTTTTTGGCATCCTCAAATGAAGGACAGGTGGAGGTCAACAAACTGTAGATAGGAAATAGAAGAGGCAAACAGAGTTCAATTTAGATAGGACAAAACAAAAAACAAACACATGAAGACCAAATATGTAGGTGTTTTTATACAAATATTAAATCTTTTACAAGAAGATGAATAAAGTGGAACACTTGGTTTTAGAAGAGGAAGCTATAAACCTAATATAATTTTTAAATGTGATAGGAGGAAGGTAACATGTAGGATATTGTTCTTATTTAATTTACAATGGGGTATTACTAAATAGATGATGCCAGTGGAAAAATGGTTCTACACATTGGAGAAACCTTCTCTCAAAATAAAGTAAATATTTTTTTTAATATTTTTTTTTAATCAGTGAGTAACATAAAATTGTTTTAAATTACCTGCTCAGATAGGAGACTCATCGTATTGAGGCTAAATTATTCACCAGCCAGCCTGGATAGGAACAGTGACTGGCATATTAAAAAGGTTAGAGATTTTTATATAGATAGATAATTAAATAATAGTTGGAGACTTCTATTCTGCCTATATTGACCCATAATGCAATGACATGGCACAATATAGAGAATTAATTTTTAAATGCTAAGTTTTCATCTTAGGGAACACACAAGTGAACAGGTGACTCCAGACCAATACAGAGGTTGCATAGAACCTGATTTGAAATTTTATTATGAAAATCCAATTCTGTTACAGTGATCTGAGTATAATCAAATTCAAAGTCCATGTGTTAGCAAATACCTTAAAAAATTTCCACAGTACTAATTTCAGGAAGGGAAGCTACATAATAACCTTTCTCACTTCTAACAGAAAATTTTCAGTGAAGTAGCAGTGGAAAGGATAAAATGCACCTGATTTGAACACTTGAAAGAACCTTTTGTTTCTTTAAAGAAACAGCTTGTATTCATAATTAATGAGATATAGGAGACAAATAATGACATGACTAGATTTGCCAATGGTACAAAATTACCCACAGTAGGAAAAATGAAAGCTTCCACAGTGATGAAAGCTGTGGAAGAATATATGAAGCTGGACAATAACATACAAATTAAATTTAGCTTTGATAAATGTGAAGTAGTACATGGGGGGAAACTAACTATATTTGCAAAATTATCAGAAAATTAAAGAGAATCTTAGGAACTGATGAGGAAAGAGAGAACAAACCAAAAATAATTAGTGTCATTGTATACAGATGTGGTTCCCTTTCCTGAATACTGTCTGCAATTCTGGTTCTTACATTGCAAAAAAGAGTATGGTAGAACAAGAAAGGGTACAATAAAGACAGCAAGGATGATCAGAGAAAGGGGATAGCTTCTTGAACAATCTAATCTACGGATTAAATAAAGGAGAATATATGGCCTGGAAAATGATGACTGGGTTTGGTTGTGTTCGTGATACAGAACATCATAAATGACAAGGAGAAGAGGAATAGAGAAGAATTACTTACTTTACATACAAAAAACAAGGAGCATTGAAATAAATCATCATGTAAGACAATTAAACAGCACAAATTACTTTTTCACATAACACAACTTACTTGATACAGAATGTTGCAAGAACCAGAAGGTATAAAGAAATCTGTAGAAGAAAAGTCCATTGGCAGTTTAACACAATTTTTTCAGTGATGATTAGGAAGTCCTCAGTACAGATTGTTGGAAGCTGGGAGAAACTTCAAAGGAAGTGGCATTACATACCACAGCACGTGTTATATGTGAAATTAGACTATATTATTTCAATAGCTGTATTTTCTTACTCAGCAAACTTTTGAGCCAGATAGTCTTTGGATCCAATATAATCATTTTTATGTTCTCATGAAACTTAGCTTATTAGCCACTCTGTTGTATATTTGTGGCCATTTTTGATCTGCTGCCTTTCTTTTGCTGGATTTAGAATGGAGAACAGAATTCTCCCTGTTTGTATACTGAGGCTTTTGCTAAGTAGCCAGCTGTGCTATTCAAGCATGTAAGTTATGCTTCAGCACTTGCCATTGTGCCAATCCTTGCAAGGAGCTAGTAGCACTAGATTGTCTGTTTAAGATCTTTATCAAGTTATTTAGCTGCTTTGCAGATTTATAACACAAAAGTAGGTTGTGCTCGCTAGAGTGAGGAAATCCTATGCTCTGTCTTTGCTCACAACTGGGCCTACAAGGCTTCTGATTTTAATGTGGATTATCAAAAATTAATGGGTTAAAATGAAGATGTGGACTATTTTTTCAAAACAAGGTCCTGTCTTTCTGACTTGGTTTTATTAACTGTAGAAATCCCATGACTGCATTAAGAAAAAAAACAGCAACAGACAGTTTAGGAAGAATACAGTATCAAGTATTTGTGAAGTCATTCGGAGTCATCAATTAATCCCTTTGCTATTTTTAATTAGATTTCTGACTTGGAGGTTCAAGGAGCATAGAACAAACAGTCTTAATGTGAAAGTTCTTTCCAATACATGTAACGTTTCATCTCATATTGGAAGATATACTTTAAGAGGACTAGAGACACCCAGAACAAACCCCCCCCCCCAAAACAGGAAGCACTTACAGTATAGGAGCCAATATTCACCCTCTAGCAGCAGTAAATAACACCCAGAACAGCAGATTTTTGTTTACTGGGTTTTTTTTTTTAAACTTAATAAAAAATCTTAATCCCAATGACACAAAATGGAATTGGCATTACAAAGGAGGATATAACTAGATTTTTATAGTTAATTCTTATGCGCTTCTCCCAGAATCTTAACTGGGAAAATTAAACAGATCAGATTTCTGAGATAAGTTAAGAAGGAAATGGGGCAAAAGGAACATTACTGAAAGTAAGTGAACATTAACATTTCTATTAAATGCAGTGTTTCTAGTGCTTAACGTAAGTCTTACAAACTGCTCTAAAACACTGCAAGCATAATGGAGAAACCCACCCCTTTCATTTTCAGTGGTCATCTTTTAGGACCGAGTCAGGCATATCTACTGTTGGGTGGGAGGAATGAAATATTTCTTCTGGACTTTGTGCAGTCTTTTGTTTGGGGTATTCTTAGGTCACCCTAAGTAATTTTTCAAATTGAGAACTTTTTCCTGGAAAAAGGAAGCTGCATGAATCACATGGGATGAATTAGAACTATAAAACTCTAGTTTTCCTGTCACTAGTAGTATTCATTCCTGAGTTGTATGAGATTTACAGATGTTTCACTTGTTTGGTTTTTTTTAATGAAATCTTTCACTAAAGGTATATGCAGGATAGTATGCTGGGATAACAAAATTTTCTGACAAAACGTGGACATAAGAATAAATACTAAAACTTAGAAACTCTCCAATCATATATGGGAAAAGAAAAGTGTGGTTCTAATATTTTGTTACTGTGATTCTTTTTTACTGAAAATATATTCTCAAGTTTAAGTCTTCTTTGCATGTTTCTTTGCATTTTTTAAAACTTTGTTTAAAATCAGTTGCGGTGAATTTATGTAAACTTCAAAAACTGAATGTGAGAAAAAAAGGAGCACTTTTGAGGTACCTGCATTCTCATTACAATAAAAGAAAAGAAGAAAAAAGAGCATAGGAATACTGAGGAAAACTGTTATTATCCTGTCAAAGCATATATGTGTCATGATAAGTATGCCTGCATGTAAAAAAGGACAGATAAATATACAGGCAAGTTTCTGCTCCCAGGTGAACACTTCATAAATAACCAAATAATTTTCTTCAGCTGGAGAACTGAATTATGTGGTTCAGACATAGATAAGGATGGATTGTTTCTATATGGAAATGACAGAACAACCAAGTCCTGTATCTCCTAGTGCTAAAAGAGAAAAAATGAGAATATTCTGCTTTCCTTTGAAATATATTTTGAGATCTTATGTAGTGCTCTCCAGAAATAATTACTACCCTACCTTATTTAAAGGCAATGTACAATTTTCCCAGTGGAATGCTATGTTTTGTGCTGTGGTATGGAGTCAAAATATTGGTCTTCAGATACTTGAAATTTCTATCTACAGAAAAGATATTTTAATTTTCTAGTGTGGACGGATTGATGGTAACTAACCTACAGGAGCAGATTACTTCAGGGCTCTTGGTTGCCTTAGAATCTTATCTCCTGTCACCCTACCAAAGTGCTCAGAGCAGCACGCTCTCTATTGATCATTTGATATAGTGAAACAGTAGTGACTTGACATCACTTGTGTTTATGCCTTCCCAGCTGCTACTTGGGTTCATCCATCTCTGACTAATCTCTGCTGGTTGGGTCTAACAAAAATTAGTCATAGTAAACTTCAGAATCCCTAAAAAAGCTTTGAAATAATTTTTCAGTAACACAGCTTGCAATTTCAGAATAGATGACAGCATAGTGTGATGGTAGCAAAGTTTATGATGACATAGATAGCAGCAAAGTTTACTGATGCTCATTTGAACTGATATGCCTAGCTTATAGCTTTACCACTTGTGAGCAACGTGGTAATCCCAAATGCATGCAATTTAATTTTCGTATTATATTTTATCACTGAGTATTTTGCCTGTGCATGTATTTTTTTTTATATAATAATATTTTCCATGTATCAAGTTTATTCTCTTACTGGAACTAAAAATCTATTCAGTTTCTTTGTCCAGGATAACTGAAAAGCATAATTTTAAAGAAAAAAGGCTAATGAGGTTGGAATAACAAACTCAGGCTTTGTATCAAGTGTTGTTTCCTAAGAGTAAGAATAATTCACGGTAAAATTATGCTGCATAAATTGTGTCATGCAAAAGGCTTGTTGCTTAAACAATTTGTCTCCGTATAATTTGCTGTTGAATACAGTCTTGCAATAGTTATTGTATGCTGTAGAGAAAGTTGACAAGATGATCTAATAGTTTTTCTAACCTCTCATATGGCCCTTTGCCTGAAAAGGCAAGTTACACTATTTTTAGAAGTTAGCTACTTTCGTAGTTGCCAGCAATCTTGGCAGTGATGTCTATTACCATGTGACTTTTAAATTGTACAAATCTGCATTTCTCTTTTGAATTTTAGATACCATTCCAGGGAGACAGTGCATGTCCTCCTGCTTCTTTCTTCTTAGACAGTTTGGTAATGTCCTGATTTACCTCAACTCAGTCAAGGTTAGTATTAGTATTTAGTATTAGTAGTACTCTAATGCATGGAATCACTACTTATGGAGTTAGACTGTGCTGTGTGAGACACTGTGTAAACATACAAAGATACAGAAATGAAACAGTAACAACAAAACACAGGAACAACAGTGGGACATAACTAGTCAATACAGCAAATGGATTAAAACATAAAGCAGCGGTTTATAAGAGCATTGTGCAGCATGGTGGGTATGATGGTCTCATCACACTTGCAATTTAAGCATTATCTGGCTTCCTGGTGGCATCACAGAAGATGATGAAGATAATTAAAGGAAGACAATGAAAAAAATTTGTGGATCTTTATGTGGTGGGCAACATGGAGAAAAAAAACCCAAATGTTTTCTTAAAACTTATCAAATGAGTGATGGAGATTATTGTCACTGGTTAATAATTGGGGACAGCATTTTAATGAACAAAAGTGTGTAAGGAAGATAGGACATGAAGGACCCTGAAAGTAATAGCTCATATATTTTACAGGGAAAACAGTCTATGAAGAGCTAAGTTAGGGCAGTATTACCAAAGCAATCAACTGAGAATATTATTTTTGCAGAAGTAATCTCAGTGGTACCCTACAGGCAATGTTGCATTTTTCAAAATAAGAGGAGTTTGCAGTTATCATAATACAGCTTTATCAGATCACCAGTATTCAACGGATAAAATGGATTTAACTTACAGATATCCAGTTATAAGTCAGATGTGAGGAAAGAGAGGCTGGAGTGTGATTATAGGGTTAAGCGATTGCTGTCTTGTTCCAGTGATTTGAAACTAGAGTTGTAAGAACGCTAGATTTGGTAGGAAGAGGAACAAGAATCTAAGAAGAAATTATTAAGGAGATTACAATTACAGTGTTCTCAGGAGGGTGAGATCTAAAGAAAAATGTGTGGTTGTAATGGTGCCAAGAGAAACTAATGGGTGAAAAATTATGAAGGTGAAGTGTTTTTTTAAGCTTTGTCTGGAAAGAGGTCATTGACGAAATCCCAAGTGGCTGTAGCCACTGGAATGGCTCCACTGTAGCGGAATGAAGAGACACCCCATCACCACCACCCCCAAATTGGAGTGTGTGTGTGTAATTGAAGAAAAGGAGAGCTGGAAACTAACAGTGAGATTTTTTTGCCTAACTTGAGCCATCTAAAAGTCAAATTTCTAGTTATAACTGATCATCTGGTCTCAGTCCATAGCCAACAGGGGCAGATGGTAATCTCCAGAGGAGAATTCATCCTGTGTGTTTCTTGCACTTATCTTAGAATGGAATGAGTCACCCCACAGAAATGCCCAGCTCTTTCCATTTCCTTTAGAAACTTTCTTAAACAACTAGTTCTAACCTGAAAAAGTTAGTTAAATGTGATTACTCACCACCTCCAAGTTATATGGGAAAGCTTAGAAATGAGAGAGAGAAGAATAGCATCTGGGGAGGCAAATGGAGTTGTCATTAATATCAGAAAGTAAGGCTAGTGTTTGTAGAGGAAAGCCAGAAACGAACAAGGGACTAAACAGAAATTAAGAAGGTGAAAGTGGGCAATAGAGTGATCAGAGGATAGGTCAGACTCATGAGTCAAGAGAAGTGCTACAGGGAGGGCTTTAGGTGGGATAATTCTGTGTCTGTGAGGGTATAAAGCAAAAAGTGTTGTGGGAAGGATTGGAAAGAAAATCTGCAGGGAAAAGGAAAAGCACAGAACACTCAGTGTTATTTTGTAAGATGTTGGATATTTCCCATGCAGAGGGAAATATAGGTGAGGAATAGATTTAATGTTTAAAAACTGTCAGGAGGGAGGCAAAAATAGTGACAGGTATGCAAGCCTTCAACCCTGCTAGATTTATCAACCAGAAGGAGGAGCATTCTTACCTTGTCAGATTTGGGAGAAATTATTTTATTATGTGTGCATAGGAGCAGGGAAGGGTTATCTGACTGCTTGTTTGGGTGGTTTGTTTTGGTTGGTTTAAAAACTTAGCTGTTCTGCTGAAAATATGTAGAACTACTGTTGCACATTATAACATATATGTGTGGATCTCAGCTTGCGAACTGGACTTGTACACATATACATGCCTTCAGCATCAGTAACCATATATCTATTTTGATTTGACCCATATTTAGACAAAGATAATATTTTAAATATTCCCCTGGTTTTCACAGTTGTAATGTGAATGTATTTATAGATTGGTGTCTTTCATTGCATAGTGGTGTACTCTTATTTGAAATACTGGCCGCTACCCCCTCAAATGTGATTGAGAGAATAATTAGAAATTGAATTATTGTCTTAAGAGAATTAGAAGATAGATATTATTTGCTGTAGAGCGAAGCTAAGAAAATAAAATTATACAAAATGAGGATTAGAATAGACAAGGTAGATTTGAAACCTCCATTTGTGTTAGGAGAGGCTGAAAACAAGATACAGCTTGCTGGAATTGCAGCAAATTCACAATGTCTTTTCTAAGAAAATGCATTTTGTCCCTTTCAAAACACAGCTGGCTTATGGAATTTGTCATAGTTCAAGGTAGGGTTGAGGTTGCAAGTTTGGAAGGTTTTGTAGATTGTATCTAGCAAGTTGCAAAATTATCAAGCCTAAGTAAAATACATATTTGGTAAATTCTTGAAGGGAATCATAAGTACTGATAACTTGAGAGATAATGCAGTTGATAAATAGCAAGGACTAAGGACAAAAGTTTTCTGCCTACTACCACTTTCCTTGCATGGTCCTTTTGAAGTAGTTGATCATTCTCATCATTTTTTTAGCTGAATCTAGCCACTGCTCAGATTTACTTAGGTCAGTCCCCTTCTCGTCACAGAGACGCAAATAATTCTTCCTGTAGCATGTTACAGGCAAGGTTTAGATGGCATTACAGTCACCTTTGTGTTTCATTCACAGCAATAAACTTCAGCAGAATCTCTGCAGCACTTTATGTGGAGCTATGCACTCTGTGGAGATTGTTTGCATGATATTCCTTCAGGAAACACCACCTTCATCCATGATTGATTAAAACTGCTTTGGGCATGAGAATGTCTCAAAGGACACCTTATTATAAATGTATTGCCAGCTGCCCTGAGGGTGACATTATAACACTGAGGATCAACTGAGAAGACAAGCTAATTCAGGCTCAGCTGAGTTCTGGCCACAACAACTGCTTCATTATTCAACTAGGTATCTGAGCATCTCATTGAAATGGACATCACTCAGAGCAAAGTTAGTTTTATGAAAAGATTGAATACCACTAAAAAGACCACAAAAGAGTGAAGTCCAGCACATGTAATGTGGCTTTAAAATAAAAAATAATAATAATAAAAATCTAGCTGCTGTGAATGTGTTGCACTCCCAGCAGCACTAGTTCATTTCTACCGGTTTTGTTTTTATGGCAGGTCTGGTCTCTAGCACTAATACATCTAGGATAGAATGATGCATTTTTTTACTTTAGTTGCTGACAGAGTTTCCTTTCTGTTCTAATTCAAAAATACAATGAGGGCTATTTTGTTCAAACAGACAAAACTGTTTGTGCAGTAAAACTAGGATCTTGCTCGCCAGCTTTGCTTAACCTTGGACTTGTGCTGATTCACACGAAACTATCATTGAGGAAGAATACAGTGAAGTGTTGTAATTCTCATATGGTGAAACCAGTTAGTTCACCCTAAGGGTACTGAAATGTTTTCACAAACTGAGCTTAAGATTCACCTGATTGGTTCATCCTCATGCTTTCACATAGCTTGCTATATTTGCCAGCTTTTGGACCCTAACATAGACTATTTCTGTGAAGCCCAGACATCCAGCAAATGGTGGCAATCCCCCACCGACGCCTCAAGGCATTAGCTTGATGTATGCAGGTGGACTGGATCAGTACCCTTTGCTGACTGCCTTTGATAGGGGAAGGAAGAGTTTCCTCCAGTGTCCCTACATCATGAGAGAAGATAGAAAGCACTGGGAAAGGGTTTTGCCCCTTGCTTCCCATATCTTTTTGTACAGTCCCAACTATGCTTTTTACCTCCTCCTTACTCCTTAGCAAGAGAACAAAAGTTTGATCTTCCTACACAAGTTTTGTTTCTTTTATAGATGTTATATAAGGAAAAACATTTTTTCTTCCACACACTCTGCTGTTATGCACCCAGGAAGGCTTTTCTTACAGTAACTACAGTGGATAAACCACCCTGCTTTTTTTTCCATGCTCTTTCACAAGCACTGCACCTCTCCTCAGCAGGGATCCTCAATCCCATCCACGCTTGTAGCTGTGGTATTGTGTTTCACCTTACCTCTACCAGGTCTACCCATGCAGCAGTGTGGGACAGTGCTCAATGTAGAACACGCTCAGCTGACTTTGGTCATCTGAGTTATACTTCAATCTGGACATCTGACCATGATCAAATCTAAGTTATTTGGGTCAAACCCAAACATCAGGCTCACCTGCACCTAGAGTTACATTTCTTGCTTTGACCCATGCAGCCTTTCAGAAAAGATACAGATAGATCAACCTGATCTATCATTAACCAGATGTGTCCAGTCTAATGTTATGGGAGAGAAAAACTTAGTGTTGCACTTCAGATAGACAGAAGGGTGCCTGTGAGCAGGGCTTGAGCATAAGAAAGTCCTATTGCATTATGTGCTGCCTGGCTACAGCCTGGTACTATGGCTCCACCTCCATCATGTGATCCAGTGTGTCAGACTAGCATCTGTCACATAACCAGATCCACAGGATCTCTTATTGAACCTTGAGAAGTCCTGGAAAAACAAACTGTTCGTCTCCTTAAGCCATTAGGGACTCAACTGCGTATTTACCACCCTAGTGGTGAAATAAGTGCTTGGGAGGTGAAAGACACCATGGCAGCACAGCATGTCTTCACATGCCCAAAGTGAAAATTACACTTACAAAAGCTGCCCCTGCAATTTTGAGCTTGGAGCATTTTCCAGATCTCTCATGGTTAATACTGTGGAATGTTCCAGCTGTGTTTGTAGTCACGAATGTAGGATGGAAAAGCCAGTCCATAATTTTCTACCCACTGTTTATAAATGCCGTATGTTCATAATGTGGGTTTTTCTTTTTCCTTCCCATTGTCTTGATATAGTGTGACTCAGATTTTTTGGGGAAGGGGGTATTTTTAATGTTGTTATACTATGGCAGGACTTTTGTTTGTTTGGTTTTTGTTTGTTTTATTTGGGTTTTGTCTGTATGGCTTATTTTCCAGAGTTACTTCTACAACGATGACACTTTTAACTTCAACTACGCCCAAGCCAAAGCTGCCATGGGCAATTTTAGTGAGGCTGAAGAGGTATGTATTTACTTTCTTTAAAAAACAACAATGGAAATATTTCCCACATGCTCTCCTCTTTCCTTCCTTTTCTCCCTCCAGATCTTCATGTTGGTTGAAAATAAGCAGGTTGGGTGGAACATCATCTTCCCCTTCTTAGAGGAACTGAAACTCTCAGTGAACACTATTCAGAGAAGATTATCTTGCTAATCTTGTAATGTGAGGTATATGGGGAGTCATGCTGCTTGTGGTGCATCACAAGAGTGCTTGCAGCTATCTCTAATTGATCAAAGAATACCCTCTTAATCAAATTTCCTATGCTTTGTCTGGGATCCCAGGCAGTCTTATTGTTGAGACTGACTAGGGCATGCTGAGTAAAAGACACTGAATAGTTAAGACCTTCTAGGTGTCCCTGGAAATTTGTGTTTAAAAAAAATTTTCTTCCTCTGGGAGATGTGGGAGGAAAAGAGGAAGTGCTCACTATCTTATTCAGCAGCATCCAGATGCAGCTGGAAGAGATTAACTTCTATGCACAGCATTTTTTGTGTCTATGTGCAGTAGAACCTTAATTACAACTAAAATATGCAAAAGCAAATAGCTATTATGAAGATGGCAGTAACATTTTCCACAAGACCAGAAGGAAGACAAGCCAGAAAAAAACAACCATGTAGTCTAAAGTGAATCATATAGGTTTGGTTGGTTTGCGGTTTTTTTGTGTTTTTCCTGTTTAACTTTTTAACTCTTGTTTCTTGACAACAGAGGCCCCCTGGTTTTGGGGGGTTTCTTTCTTGTTTTCTTTTCTTTTCTTTTCCTCCCAGTACCCCCCTCCCTTAATTTCTGTGAGCTGAAATTGCATCTCTCTTTGAGAAAAATATCCAAGACTGTCAGGCAAAATGTATATATATTTCAATTCACCCACCTTAATTTAGTTAGCTTAATGAAAATGCAGGTGAGTATCTTAAAACTATGCTAGCAGGCTATGCTGATAAAAATGATAATGCTATGAGTAAGCTTTAGCTACAGCCAGGCAACAAAGAAACACAAAGGTGTAAACTGCTGTTAATCCACATTTTTCCTCTTATATTCCTACAAATGAGTCTATGTAAACTTGTGTTATGTAGCTGATGCATTTAAATAACAGGATTATGTAATTAAATTGATTAGACTGTCCTAATGTCTGATCTTTGCTTGTGATGATGCTTTCATATAAACACCACAATTCCCCAGTGTTTCATAAACTTGTAAAATATCTCCACATAAAACACTTATTAACTTACTAAGAAGCTTACCTCGCTGGACATAATGAAGAAAAAAAAAAACCCCAAAACTATGATAAAGTCATATTTACACTGATAATGTTCCTTTTTTTTTTTTTTTTTCTCCTTCCCTTTACCACTCCCAAAATTAGGGGGTCAGCAATGTTTAACCAATAAAAATGTCAGTAATTTGTGGAACTCATTGTTCCAGTACATACATCTGCTCCTATAAAGGTATTTTAAGTTCTGCCAGTAGCATCCTTGTATAGTTACAAATATACCTCCAGAGAGGCATAAATAGTTGGGGTTTTTTCTGTGAGTAAAGCCAGAGTACATTTTAAAATTTATAACTTCCCCCCATGCATCACTTTAGATGTAGAATATAATAAACCTGAATTTGTACAGCAAGTTAGAAAAGACGAACATTTTGCCTTGGAGCCTTACTGACACCAAAATTATTAGAAATGGCTTATTGCTGACCTGGAATGGTCTCTGACATGTATGGGGAGGAAAGGCTTATATATATGTGAAACTTCTGGTATTTCAAGAAGATGCTAATGTAATTGCTTGCATTGCTTTCTAAACAAACACATTCCAAATAGCTTTTCCCACAGGCCCAGTGTTCCTTTGTGCTGTTCGTGTTGCATGGCCGCCCACTGGCACTTGTTCAGAGCAGGCCGCACCCTCCGCGCAGCTTGGCGTTTTGCAGCTGCAGAAGTCCCTAGATAAGCGTGGCACTGTTTGAATCCTCCACCTACCCGATACAGAGAGATGCCCCTGCACTGCACTTGCATACACTAACTCTTCTCATGAAGCAGTTGTTTGTGTGGCTTAAGTCTTAGCTGCGTGTTGAAACGAGGCAGGTCTGCCTTCTGTTTGTTTAAAGTACATGCATGTATAATCTTTTATTTGCCTTCTTCCTGCAGGTGTTCCTTTTGATCCAGAGTGAGAAGATAAAGAATGATTTTGTTTACCTTAGCTGGCTAGCTCGCTGCTGTGAGTCACTTTACCCTCAACATTGCAGAATACAGATCCTCCTCTATTGCATCAGTCTTGGCAATCCACTTTCTTAATTGAATTTAATGTTGTAGGTGGATTCAGAACTGCAAAAGTGAAAAGCTGATTGCACTAGTTATAGTGTGGGTGGTTATTGCACCTTTCATACATCTGGCTTTAGCAAACAATTACTGCTTCAGTGCAATGCTGCCGTAGTTCCGTCAGCATTGTCCTAACCAGTGAACCTTTTTCTTCTCCTTGTCTACTCAATTGCTTGAGTGAAGATTTTCTGTCTTTAAAAACTGAGTTACAACTCTAAAATGTTCAGAGTAAAACATAAAATAGAAGCGTCCATACTGGGTCAGGCCCAAGGGTCTGTCTAACTCCAAGAGTAGCTAGTGTCAGATGCCTAGGGAAGAGAAGAATCAGGCAAGCATATGTGGTATTTTTTTTCCTATCACATTATTCTTTGCATTGTTCAAACTCCTGTGCCTCAAGGATGTCCTTTATTATCTCCAGCATATTTTTCTTCCTTAAACTTTTCAATTCTTTCCTTGAAACTGGAACATTTTTGCTATGTTTAATATTCTACAGAAAATTTTATTTAGTATTTCTGAGTCAGTTTTTAAAACATTGCAGACTACACCTCAGTACAGATAGTGCTGCAGCATCACATGCAAAATAGTATAGCTGGGATGGAAGATTCAGATTCTTTTATTTCTAGTTGTGTATAGCAGGGATGATTAAAGTTAAAGGCCAATGAAAAATTCTACTCATATAGACAAATTTCCAGGACAAATCTCAGGCATTTGGAAACATTTTTTCTAGTAGACACATAATGACAAGTTTTGTTATGCTTGGAGGGGCTTTGTGTGTCGTCCCCTCCTCGCTTTTGGTTTGTTAGGAATCTTGGGAATTGAATGTTTAGATTGAGGTGGGCACCAAGTATTAAAGACCTCAGCTCGGTGCCAATTAAAATTTGTCTATGTGTAAGAACACATAATCCTAAATCTCACCATCTAAATGGATTGCCACAGTTCATTGTCCTGCATAAAAGAACTTCTCTAATGCTTTCTATTCTGTTCCTTAATCAAATCTGAAATCATGAGAGTTGTGCTTATTGCTGTATCTGTGAAATAGAAATTGAGATGTAAATGCCATAATTATTCCTCTTGACATTGATATTCTCTGATGAATTGGCTGTTATCTCTAGTAAGGCAGCAGATAAGAACAAGTTTCCCTTCCCAACCTCATGCTTGCAGGGTGAGGCATGTGTTTACATTAAGCAAAGAAATTTAGGAACATTTATTCCATCTGCCATTGAGTATTGTGCATGGCGTATTGTTTTCACAATCCCAGCTTTTTGTTGCTATTGCAGATATTATGAATAAGAAACCACAGTTGGCCTGGAAGCTCTATCTGAAGATGGAGACCTCAGGGGAGTCCTTTAACCTATTGCAACTCATTGCAAATGATTGCTACAAAGTGAGTCTTCTCTTTAGAACTTGGTGTATGGCATGTTAATTTAGTGATTGTACCAACAGCCATTTTTTGGATACTTTCCATCATTGTCATAACTAGTGCACTTTCTCCTATAACAGCGGGATGTCTAATAGTGTAGACGAGTTGTTAAGTACTAGTCAGTATTTTAACCTACAGGCCTTCTTGGTAGACAACCCACTGATTAAAATGTTGGTAAATTACTGCATGCTTGAGCTATCAATAACAGTTTCTTCTACTAGGGATTCATTGTTGGTAGAAATGACAAGAAACTTTTAAGAAAAAAAAAATCTAGCATAGATTCAGCAATGAAGCTTATGCTGCGTTTTTTCTGGGACAGCATTATTTTTTCCTTAAAGTTTGTAATAGCAATGGGAGATACTCCTTTGTTAATCATAAGGAAATGGAAAGAGAATTCTCACAACTACTATTCTATCTGCCCAAGTATGGCAGACACATGACGTGTGTAGTCATTAGGCATAAAACTACTTAGAAAAAAGCTTAACTGCCTGCAGTGGGGATCCCTGCTCACTCATCATAGTTCTTCTTTTGAACCTTTTCTAGAGGGGACTTTTAATGAGATGAGGTTAGATTAAGCTGTCTATCATTTTTAAAAGTCAAGCTAGACAAGACAATGTCCACTTTTGTAGGGATGCTCTGGGCATTTTAGAACTAGTTAAAATATATGCTACCTTACTTGTACTGAGCTAGATTGTGTTTAGTAGTTCTGATGCTCTGTGCTAATACACTGCTGGCACACCTCCAAATTCTAGTTTATACAAAGCTATGTTAATGGTGAAGAGATCTTGGGAAGCTGATTACAATTCTGCCTAAATTCCTAACATCTAATTCTTCAGATGGTGTCTATACGCAGTGAGACTTAGCTCTGGTTCAAGTTATTTGCTGTTTTGCAAAGCATGGAAAAAACCCAACATGAGAGCTTAATCCATAGGATGGATGTAGAGGCATGTAACAGAAAGTTGTTTGACAGGATTGTAAATGGTACTATAGGAGAAAGAAAAATTGGTTATCCTATGCAGAGTACTGCTGTGCAAGATTTCAGTAGACAATTAAAGAATGCTGTATCCGGCATCCTGTCTGTCGTCTACAAGGATGATTGCACTGTGTTGGGACCTAGAGGAGTAGCAAGTGATAGGAGAAAAGGATGTTCTTTGGAAAACTGTCATGGTGAGACACAGGCCATCCAGTTTTCAGAATGTATTGGCCAGAGCCAGAAGGTGGACTGAAGTTATTTGGGGAGAGACCATTTTAGATTTAATTTAACTTAAATATAGAATGTAAAGACAGATTGTAATTTTGTGATTGTGTAAATATAGTAGTTCACTGCTTTAAGAAGGCAGATGTGAGAAGAGCAGAACACAGATAATACATGTAAAGCTCATGGAGCTGGTTCAGTGGAGTCTGATGCCAGCTGGCTAAGAGCTGGCAGCTATTAGCATAGGTTTATTAGAGATACAATGACCAAACTTGCCATCATAGAAGAAAGACAGTAAACTAAGTCCTACTGGAAAACCTCCCAATGATTCTCAGTTCAGCCAAGCTCTCCAAAGAGCAGCAATATCCATGTACTATTTGTAACACTTTTTTTGCTGTTTTCCTTCGTCTGACAAAGTAACAAGTTCTCAACATTCTAACAAACACATAACTGAAAGTCAGAAAATCTACCTTGTGATCTCAAAAGCATTCTTCTAAAACTGAGCAAATTATCTCTTGCACATCTTTCAAGTATTCAATCAACCATCTCACCCTAAAAGTCTTGTTGCTCAGGCAAGCGGCTATGCCTCTGGTGTTTCCCATAGCTGCAATTTGTGAAAGCAAGTTGACAATCAGACCTTATGTAAAATCTTTCTCTAGACCATTTTAAGTCTCACTTAAATCAGTTGATTACTTTGCCTAAATTCTTCTCAAAACCTTATTGTACTCTAGAGGAGAAGCAGCTCCACACTTTGCATTTATCTAGAGCTCATGAAAACTGCACTTCCAGGACTAAATTTTTCAGCCTAATTATATGTCTAGATATGGCCATTGATGACTGCTCCAAAGCACAAGGAATTTAATTTCAAAAATTATTACTGTAGTGTTATAACTTGTCTTTCTACACTACCAGCTGTTTGTACCTCTTCCAATAAATGGCAAGGTCCATGTTATTTGAGTTTATGTAGAATTTTCCAGTTGTTTCTGAAACGTTATATTGGACATCCACAAACAGCAGCATAGCTGTAGCTTAAGAAAGCAGTTGCACTAGACTTCACTCAACAGAATGCTGAATGAACATGGATAGAGCAAGGTCAACAGTGTCCTGAGACTAGGCATACCTTGATGCCTCATTTCTGTGCTGATAGAAGTTGTTCAGTGAGGAAGCTGGGATGCAGGACTTTCTTGCTGCTTTTCATGCAATAGCCCATCTTATCCATATAGGGAACAGCACTTCACTTGGGGCGAAGCATTTTATGTCAGACAGGAGGAGGACATTAAACTGGTATCTGCTTAGTGGAACTACATCAGATGCCAGTTTGGAGAAATCGGTATTCAATTTTTTCTTTTTAGCTGACACATCTGATACTGTTTATACTCACTACCTTTATTCTAATTTTTTAGTGCATTTAAGTGCTTGTGAGTCACCTGTGGTTAAAATCACTGTTTATGTGAAAAAAAGGGAATTATTACTCATTCAGTAGTACCTGTGTTTCTCTGACTGAAGTTTTCAAACATAACTCCCACAGCCTGTCCTTTTTTTCTCAGCAGATACAGGCTTCCAGCCACCAAAGGATGGGAGGTTGTGCTCATTCTACCTCCTCTGCTCTCTCATAGGAAGATGCTAGCCACAAACAAGATTGCTATTCAGGCTTGTCTAAGTGAAGAACACTCAGTCACAGATACGACTCACATGAGTTATGCTGACTTCAAAAGCCACAGTTACTGTGGTCACTCTTTTTGCACTGACTGTTGCCAAACTACTTGCTGCTTGTTCCCATTTACACGTAGAGAACCCAAGGCAGAAAAGATAGGGTACACAGTGGATTTTCCTATGCTCAGGAAAATTTTGGATTATAGAGTCCCTGAATCTTATTTTGCAGTGTACTGTAACAATGAAGAAAAAAGAATTATCTCTAAGTTAAACCCAAAAGACATCCAAAAATGTCTCTGTGACCATCTCTAGATGAGGAAAAGTGGTTCCGTTTTCAAACGTTTGGACAAGTTTGAAGTTGATATTCTATTAAGGACTTTGATATAGTTGGTATGACACTAGATAGGGCACCTCATTAAAGAGAAGTTCTTTAAGCTAGTACTATCTATATATGATCAAAACAACAGTGCTGATTGTTGCCAACTAATAAAGTTCACAGTGCAGTTTGTCTATAATATGTTCCAAGACATAGAGCAGTAATGTTATAATACCACCTGTTTCTCTACATAGAACTGAAACGTGTCTGTTCTGTGTCACTTGCTGCCTGCAGAAAAACAGGAAAATGTCCATTGCTTCTATGACTTACTGCTGATTTCAGAAAACTGAGATCAAAAACTTTAATCCCCTTCTGAAAGACGGTCATATAATCAGGAATAATGTTTCACTTTCTGTGCAGATGCGTCAGTTTTACTATTCAGCCAAAGCATTTGATGTTCTGGAGAGACTGGACAGTAATCCTGAATACTGGGAAGGCAAGAGAGGTGCTTGTGTGGGCGTCTTTCAAATGATCTTAGCTGGCCGAGAAGCAAAGTGAGTATTCTGTGTTGTATCTGAATTTGTTTTGCTCTTTTCCTATTTCCAGTTAAGCCAGAATCATAATCTTAGTTTTAGGACTACATATCCTCTTCCAATTCTTTATTGACCTTTCAGAGAACAGACACTCTGGCCAGTGGTTCTATATGCACTGTTCAATTTGAAGTGTATCATCTTCCACACCAACAGTTGTAAAATATATGGTGGAGAATAACTTATCAGCAAATGCTATGAATTGTAGGAATCCAAAATATATTAGTCATTATACTAGGAAGAGCTAAGTTATAAATGTGGTTTGTTCATGAATCATAGAATGGTTTGGGTTGGAACTGAGGGAAAAGAACCTCATTTCATGTTCATGGCTTAAGAATGGAAAACTGTCCTGTGACATTTTAAGGTTCATAGAACAGAACTAAGGAAACATTTACTCAGCGCTGTAGGAAGAACATGATTTCTTTAAACAGTGAGTAGATGAGACTGTGTTTTCACTAAAATTTGCTTTCTCAAGACGCTGTCCATGTCAGACAAATATACTCACTTGATGAAAGCTTAAAGGAGGTTATCTGTGTTACTGATAATTTTGCTTTTGGCCCATTTCATTGGATGGTAGAACGAGAGAAAATAGTGAGGCTGTATTTAAGAACTGTTCCCTCATGAATATTCTGCTGTGATGCCGGATGGCCATTCTCCCCTGGCCAAAGTTGCTGTTTCGTACACACCTACCAGTTGTGTATCTTGGCTTCTACATCTTCCTTGTATTCCCTTCTCTGCTGGAACAATCATCTCATTAACTTGCTGCACCCTTCAAGTGTCCTTTTAGCAATTACTACAGTAGATACAGCAAAATACACATAGCTTGCCTATTTTTCAATACGCACACAAGTTCTTGCTGTAAAGTAGCTGGCAAACCACAGCTTCATACTGGTTTATCCTAATGTTCATTTCCATGTTATTTGAATTTATGTGCAAGGTGCTTTGGCAGCATTAAGCTAGATGTTGCCGTACTGAAGACTAGCAAGTAGCATTAAAGACAAAAAAACATTTGTCTTGTTGTGGGGAACTATTTTGCAAGAGTAAGGATTTATATATAAATACACACATGCGCATGCACATTAAACTCCAAAGTAATTACATTTTGCTGATTTCTTTTTTTTTTTTCTTTTAATTTCTCTCCTTATTGCAATTGTATACAAGACTTTTTTTTTTTTTTTATGGTCCCCTGGGTGCTAATCTACTGTGCATTTTTACCTATCCCTACTCTGCACATGAATGGACTGTCTGTCTAGAAACCATGTTTTGCAAAATAGTTTGGATGTGGGTAGTTGCTTATTGTATCGCTTGGGTCTCACCCCCATTTAAATCTTTGCTTTTCACTTTTGTAGAGAGACTCTACGGGAAGTATTGCATCTTCTGAAGAGCACTGGTAATTCTCAAGTAGAATACATTGTCCGCATCATGAAAAAGTGGGCCAAGGAGAACAGAGTCCCTGTTTAAGTCAGTGCCACAAAATGAACTGGGTCAGTTACTGTTGTGTGTGTGACTGTAAGGTGTAGATCTTGGTTTCTCCTGTGCATTCTGGGTATCACCTTCCTTGCAGGACTTGAGACTATCAAGCAGGTTGACTCAGCTGAGGAGCAGCGTAGTGCAGTGAGATTGCAAAACATTCAGCAAGGGTTTTTTTGTTGGGTTTGTTTTTTTTTTAATTACGACTTTATTGGTACTTTTTCTGTTGCACTACTCTCTATTCCTTATTCAAAGTCTCTCATTGTTTTTAGTAGTAATTCCAACTGTCCGCAAGTCAAAGTGCTCCTCAGATGTTCCCCAGATTTCCTAACAGGTCTTCTGGCCTCTGGAGAAGAATCATTTGCTAAAGGGCTGAGATAAATCTGCTTCAGCAAGAGGTGGAATGTGGCAAGTAGAGGGGATGATGGTGACAAGCAAAAGCCAGTACTAGGGTATCAGATAATACATAAAGACTTCTATATATTACCTGTCCAGGGTAAAATACAAACTGTATTCTGAGCACTGTCCTTTTCTGGATAAATCTCAGTAACTAATACCTTCATCTCTTATTTTTGTCTATAAGGATTGTTTTCTCTCTTACCCTTAATTCTGATGATGAGGGTTAATCAACCCAAAATGCTAAGCTCCAAAGTGGCTTATCTGCTTTCTAGGTTGGTAGCAAAACATGACTATCTTTTTCAGACCATGGAGATTTGACCAACTCTATTGTTCAATCTTGCTTTGAGGTCTGAATCTCAAAATATTTATTCATGTTAATATAATTCATGTGAGCAATACCTTTAGTTCAGCAATCTGATGGATAAAAGAACTGGATGTTTTGAATAATTTTCTTCAGCATTTACCACCCTAGTTAGCAATATATTTATTATATTTTTGGATTTATTATACTCTCCTGTTTTCTAAGGAAAACAGTTCAGGGAATACATAATTCTAAAAGAATGCAGCAGTTGTAACATAGAAATGTATTATATGTTTTGCAGCGAAAAACATTTGTATATTATTTGTAAAAGGAAAATTTACAATTTGTAAAATACTTACAAACTATTTTTTTATCTTTTTTGGGGGGGAACTCAGAATACTGTTTTCTCTACTGTCTCTGCTTTGAATAAAGCTCTTAATTGAATCTACAGTTTGAATGTCTCGTTGGTCTTGTGTTGCTTCATACTTTTCTGCTTTTCAACAGAAATTGAAATAGTGTATATTCATTTTGCTGTGGAAGAGGGCAGATTTGTGACTGGTCATTAAATGTCTGGTCAGTAATCAGTCGAAGGCAAGCCAATGGCCTTGGTCCTGATTTATGGTGGTTTGATGCTGAAAATAAGGAGTCTGGGTGTATATGGAACATATACACCTTTCTGCCATATAGCATGTGTGTGTTTTTACTGCTTTAAGCAAAAACTGTGGGTATCATCATTCAAGTATCTAAAAGTACATTGATAGTTGTGGCTACTTGCATTTACATGTATTTACATCTAGAATACTGGTCCATCATACCAACAACAACAGTAAAGCCTTTCAGCAGGGGCAACTTTACACTGATTCAAAAGAGGTGTGAAAGGAGCAGTACTTTCACTGAAAGCAGTCTGAAAACACCTTTCATTTGTAAATGGCATTTTTCTTTTCCACCCAGTTTAATTAACTTGGAAACAGATCCGGAATACAATTATGAGTCTTGGTACAAAGCTTCAAAAAATTATGTTGGTGGCTTTGTAAGAGATGTTAAATGCACTAATTACTCCTCCCTTTATTGAAGCTTAACCTGCAGGAGGGCTGAAGAGCATCCAAATCCATTGCAGACCATTTTACCCGTTGGTTGAATCTTCTGAAATAAATGAGATGGCATTACAGCATATGGGCTTGTCGACTAATTTTAAATTCTCTGTCTGTGACCAGTGAAGAAGGTTTTGAAAACGTCACCTATTAACTATAGTCACAAAGTCATATTTGATATGTTAAGTAATGTGGGGTTTAGCACAGTGCATTTTATTGACCAGTAATAAAGCTTTCGTCTTTATGTCTTGAAAGAACAGAGTACTGCAGGGCTTTGCCTTGAGCAACGGTAAAGTAAAAGATATATTACACATTGTCCTAGCATTTAGAGTCTTGGTAATGGAACAGATATGTAGGTACTACTAAAATACAGAACAAGAAAAGTGCTGAAATAGTGGTGTTTATTTTACCTTAGAAACATGTTCTAAGAACATTTTCCATTGTTTAATCTGAGATCATATTCAAAGAACAGAGGTGTGAATAGAAGTTGCCTTAGATGAAACAGAAAGGGAAGTTAATAAGAATTTCTAAAGCTGTTTCTCAGGTTGGGTTAACAAAGTTTTATCCCTGCCGTTTCCCTGAACTGTGGGAATTTAAGGAGTCAAGGTACTCTAAATAGTACAGCTGGGAGTGAAGGTAGATGTAGAGAAAAACAACAGTGACCTATACAGAACAAACAGGCGGTGAAGAATGCATGTGCAGAGGCAGAGAAACAGCTAAGTTTATTGGGTCAGGAGTAAGTGAATATAAAATTGATAACAGGAGCATTTCAGATAATGTAGTGGAAGAGAGACTAAGGCAGAAAGAAATTGCTGCGTCATTAGAATTTCAAGGAAGAGTATGGAAAACACAGTTATTTCTTGCACTTGGAATAAGCATCTGATTCTGAAAAATAGGATATAGAGAAGGTACTGTGCTAGCAATCGTATCATTAGTAGAGAAAGCCAAACCTGAAACAGTGTGTAACTGCTTCTAGTTGGGCACTGACCCATTCCTGATAGATAAAGAAGATGACCTTTAATTAAGCTTGGTCATACCTGAACAACATTTTTGCCAATAACATCTAAGTGAATTACACTGCACGGGAGGACGTTTATCCTGTCTGTTGCTGCGAGTTCCAGGATAACATCCATTTTGGCCAGCATCTGAGCTGATCCAATATAGCAGCAGCCCTCTTGGATTAATTCTGGAATCCAGCATATAACTTCTAAGCACAGTAACAGCTGGGGCCAAGTAATGTAAACCTAAACTGGAGGTGGCAAGTTCACCGTGAAGGAAAAGTTGTGTCACGTTCCACCTCTGTAGGCTGCAGCAGGCATTTAGGTTTATGTGGTTCTCTCAGCTTGAAGATCGCTCATTGATCTTCATAAGAAAGTTGTTTAAGGTTGAATAAGGAACTTGTCCGTTAATTAGTAAGATACGACATAAACAATTACATGTACAGCTGTTGCTGTAGCTTCATTAGATGGGAGCTGTATGTACATTAAGAAAAACATCTGGGTTTTGCCCACTGGTTTACTCTCTAACCAAATTTTTCACTGTATTATGTCCAGAAGTAACTTCCAGTCAATCTTTTTTGAGGTTCATTTCCAGAATTCCCTCTCCCCGTTTCACCTATTCATAGCTGGAGAGGGACTGTTTATCAGGGAGTGAAGTGGTAGGAAAAGGGGTAATGGGTTTAAACTGAGAGAGGGCAGATTTAGATTTGATATTAGGAAAAAGGTCTTTACAGTGAGGGTGCTGAGGCACTGGAACAGGTTGCCCAGAGAGGCTGTGGATGCCCCATCCCTGGAAGTGTTTAAGGCCAGGTTGGATGGGGCTTTGGGCAACCTGGTCTAGTGGAGGGTGTCCCTGCCCATGGCAGGGGGGTGGGACTAGATGATCTTTGAGGTCCCTTCCAACCGAAACCATTCTATGATTCTATGGTATGATCACTGATTAAGCAGATACTTACATGAAAGTGTCACCACTAACCATTAAAATCAACTCTTCAATCAGCTACTAGATAATCTGGCCTGACCCTGCATATTGCAACATGGTAGATTTCATCTGCTAATCTTTGTGTTGAATCCAATAACTTGGATTTCCATAAAAATATTTGCCAGAAAAACTTAAGAGTCTTAATTTGAAGGTGGTTAACAAAAATCCATAGTTTTATTTTGCAATTTATTCAAATGGTTAAATTACCTTTGCTCTTCTAGAAATTGTACCTTCATTCTAAATTCAGCTTGTTTGGCCTTGTTTTCTAATATTTGATTCATCCAATGTTCATCTTTGCTGTTACTCATATTAAAGCCTAGCATTCTTTGTTTCAGTGGGTTTGGTTTTTTGGGGTTTTTTTTTTTTTCAATCTTTAAGTATGCATAAACTGCAAGCAAGTCACCTCTGTCTGTATTGAAGACAGCATCCCTTGTAAGGATATTTTCCAGGCTGGAAAACTGGCAATCAGTTTGTCAACAGATTTTTTTAAAAAATATGGCCATGAAGCACTGGGCATACTTTATCGCTGTATGTGACGCTGGACTATGCTCCTCCATACTGCTGCTCATTATTCTACATGTGTACTCAAAGACTGCATTCACCCTTTTTGTCATATTATCACAGGGGTAGCTTGCATTAAATTGCTTCTCGACTGTGACACAACATCTAGGGTTTCTCCAGAACTGGTATTTTCCAGGATACAGTCCACCTTTCTGAAGAGACAGCCTACCTTTAGCTCTACAAAAAATATACTTTCTTTGAATGAGCTGTTTTCCAGCTTATGCAGATCACTCTGTGTGACTGTCTTATCCTCACTAATTACTAGTCTGTTTCTCTGCAGCCTTTTATTAGTGCTGTTTTACATTTCTGGATCACCAAGGGATATGTTGGATCCTCCATCCTTCCAGGGCCCTATTAAGGCAAACCCCCAAAACATTCTATTAATGATGACTGATGGCTAATTTTCATAATTTGTAATTCTCAGTTTATTTAACATGTACCTTACAGAAACTGTATTATGCTATTCTTTAAATTAGTATATGAGATTAGAAATGTATATATTACATTTGTATAATTGCAATATTCAGCTAAACTTGTAAAAGATCCATGTCATGGGAGCTAATACTTCCCGTTCATTCTTTGTTAGATGAGCCTTACTGCATCCCAGAAAGATTGATGGAGTCCAGTTGTTCAAGACTGCTTGCAGAATTTGAAACAACATTTTTTTCCCTATAGTCACATTTAGACGCCACACACCAAAAGTTTACTTTTGACTTTGTAGAGTTTAAATTTTTGTTTGGAACAAATAAAGCAGGCATTTCACATGTCTGGGCAAGGGACAGTTCCTAAATTCCTTATAGGTCTTGCTTAATTGATGAATTACACTAGCATCTAATTATAGATTTAAAAATAAAAACCTATATTT